ATTTCTTTATCTGGCTTGTTGGACCTATGGTCGCGGTCGTTAGCTATTTATTCCCCCGGGGCGCCCTCGGGTCATTACACATTAAAATGCATCCACATGCCTTTATTTATGGATCTGTCATCTGTCTAGTCATAAAACAAAGCTGGAATTGTAGAAATGTTAATACTTTGAGCTATTTTGAGATTTAATAATCATTAAAATTGAACCCTTCAATGACTGTATCATGTTCCACGTAGGTGGGTATGAGGTAGGAGGTTTTTTATACAAAGCCTACCATGTCACTAGATTTCAAAATAAGAGTCGGGACTCTAAAAAAATTATCCACACACATTGCATAGTTCCAAAGTGCAACAGCCATGGTAACACTGTCGCTATGGGCAAATATGTAACATATGTCCAAATTCAAGAGGGAATGAAACAAAAGTGGCTAGTTACAGTCTGGGATGGTTTGTTTTTCCTTGGTCTGTTGCAGTTTAAAGTGCCTGATAAAATTGTTTTACAATGTTATGATCGGCTAAACGAATGAAACCAAGAAATTATGACATGTAAAATGGCAATTTTGAAATGTAAAATTTAAAAGTGACAAACACAACCTCCCTATCCACTCTTTGTGAGCCCTAATATGTACATGCAGCAGTGGTAAGTGTACAGCTTATTATCACACTACTGGGCTTTGTATTCTAAAGCTTGTTATTTTTAATAACACTGTTCATTCGACGTAAATGTTTTGTGTGTGCGCAGTCAACGATAATCATTGTTTTATCCCGGTTATATGACCTCGGCAATTATAACAAGACCGTACTAAACGAAAAAAACGCAAATAAGAGAAAGCTTTCACACACATATAAAAAATGAACTAGTCTAATCCGCCAGTATAAACTCTGTTATATACGTAGCCAGGTCGGGCGCACACTTTAACACGAAGCGACGCTAACGTATCCTTGTGGTGAGGTTTTATATTTCGGCACAACAGCCACTTAATACATTCTGTCTTTTTCAGTTTATTGATGGGCCCATCAAATGTGGACCCATCCACATCTGAGGTGGTCAGTTTTTCACAGTCACATAACGTTTGTTCTTTCATAGAATCCTAAAAAAACAGATATAAAGCTTTATATTTCTTTGTTTTCAACATCCGTGGAACGATGTTTTATATGACAGATTTATATCCTAATAGGCCTAATGTTGACTGCCACAATAAATGAATTCCAATTAGATCGATAAAAATTTTAAATTGCTAAAATAAACATTGAGAAAAGTAAAAGGGATTACAGTAAATCTTGTATGTCAGCATGACTTGTTAGCCAGCTTGCCGGTGAACTAAAGTTGAACTTTGAACCCCGCTTTGAACGACAACCTCTAACCTAAATACAACACAAGATGTGCAATATTCTCATTCAAAGATATTGGCTAGTATTTGATGCTGTTTGCTTATGAAAGGTAGTGAAAATACAACAGGAATAGTTGTTTGTTGATGTACACTTCTATCATCAGTAGTCTAGCCTAAGCTTAGACTGGATGGCAGTTTTGAAAGACTGAAATCTCGGAGAGGAAAATTTCAATCAATCAGGACTTATTTGCATCTGATAGGTGATTTGAATGGATTGTTTTGAAATAAAACAATACAAGTGAGACCCTTGATATTATAAAGAAAAGATAAGTATAAAATGTAACTCACCATTTTGTATAGTTAACAAGATTTATCCCCGTGCGTACCTCAATGATCACTGTCAAGTGCCAAATTAGATGAGTAAATCATTCAAAAAAGTCCGCGAGTGACGTCACTGCTATAACGATTGACAGGTTGCCCCGCCCATTTATCGATTTTTTGCCGACTTTATGGAAAGGTGTATATTATCAATTTTGCAGATAAAACTGACCCAAGAAAGGTTGTTTTATACAAGGACATACATGTATGTCCTAGTTGGAAAATAACTTGTTAAAGTGTCATTGATCACACTTACCAACATGGTGCTTAAGAATATGTATAGATTACGCTTATATTAATCAAAGTATTTATATACATGTATATCATATCTATGTTCTATATTTGTAATAACTATTATCTGCTGTACATTTATAATCATCATTTTTCAAAATATGTTAATACATGAAATAGCAACTATTTTACAAAATCAAATAGAAGGTATGGGCGAATGGGGTTCTGAATAAAATCTAGCACTATTGTCTGACGTCTGTTATGATACCATAAGTGTTGGAAAGCAAACATTTAGTTCCAGGGTTTGTCTCTTGAAAGCATAGAATAAGTCTGAGTATTTTCAACATGGGCAGTTCCTTTCTTTAGGACATTTCACTTGACAATTTTGCTATCTATAACTCCCAGGATGTGAATAAGTCATACAATTACAATTTGAGGAGTTTTCACAGGAATTTGATAAAATCTTTGTCAATTTGCTATTGTCAGCTTTTCAAACACATTGTCAATTAATCAGCCCTTTAATATATTATTATATTCTAAATGTATATATTAATCACCTGTTTAGTCACCCTGGCACTAATTCTGTTTGTTACATCCTGGAATTTAATTTTCCTTAAAAACATACATGTACTCATGTATTACATGTATTTTATATTACAATCCTAACTTTTACCACATTCTTTTAATTAAAGATCTTAGTATTCAATCAAAATATACAGCAAGAATATCAGTTGTTTACATTTATTTCACATTTAACTCTAATAAAAGGCCACAAAAGTTCCATCAAAAGTTCTGTAAACTCATCAGTAATCATACCTATCCTCATCATTATATATTTATGTTGTTCAGGCAACAAGTAACAACTCAATATCCTAGATGCGAGTAGAAATAATCTTGATTTACGTCATTAAAAATAAACAATTCAGTCTAACTTATGTCATATTTTGAATCTACTTATAAAATTACATTGAGAAATGTGGATTTGAAAAGAGTTTATCAACTTTGAAAATTTAATTTTCTTTGGAAATGTGACTTTTAAGTTGGGGAGATTCCCAATAGACTCCATGTTGTAAAACCACAAAAAGTGAAATATCTTCTTGTGTTGGGCAGATAATATTTATTTTTACTGGACATATTTTAATTTGTATAACTATCACATACATAAGGGTGATATGAAAAGTGAACCACTAAAACTGATGCATATTCAAGTTTAAGGGAATTTTGTAATACCCTGCTATGTTATTTCCCCCGAATCAGCCACCTGGTGGTGAAACTGGGAACTACCTACTCCTATCTAAGTAATTGAGAAGAAATATGAGATGATGTGAGCTATCATGATGTCAGTAAAAAATGAGATGGCATGGGTTATCATGATGTCAGTAAAGAAATGAGATGACATGGGTTATCATGATGTCAGTAAAGAAATGAGATGGCATGGGTTATCATGATGTCAGTAAAAAAAATGAGATGGCATGGGTTATCATGATGTCAGTAAAGAAATTAAATGGTTTGGGCTATCATGATGTCAGTAAAGAAATGAAATGCCATGGGCTATCATGATGTCAGTAAAGAAATTAGATGACATGGGTTTTCATGATATCAGTAAAGAAATGAGATGACATGGATTATCATGATTTCAGTAAAAATGAGATGGCATGGGCTATCATGATGTCAGTAAAGAAATTACATGACATGGGTTATCATGATGTCAGTAAAGAAATGAAATGACATGGACTATCATGATATCAGTAAAGAAATGAGATGACATGGGTTATCATGATGTCAGTTAAGAAATAAGATGACATGGGCTATCATGACATCAGTAAAGAAATGAGATGACATGGGTTATCATGATGTCAGTTAAGAAATAAGATGGCATGGGCTATCATGATATCAGTTAAGAAATGAGATGACATGGGTTATCATGATGTCAGTTAAGAAATAAGATGACATGGGCTATCATGACATCAGTAAAGAAATGAGATGGCATGGGTTATCATGATGTCAGTTAAGAAATAAGATGGCATGGGCTATCATGATATCAGTTAAGAAATAAGATGACATGGGCTATCATGACATCAGTAAAGAAATGAGATGACATGGGTTATCATGATGTCAGTAAAGAAATGAGATGGCATGGGTTATCATGATGTCAGTAAAAAAATGAGATGGCATGGGTTATCATGATGTCAGTAAAGAAATTAAATGGTTTGGGCTATCATGATGTCAGTAAAGAAATGAAATGCCATGGGCTATCATGATGTCAGTAAAGAAATTAGATGACATGGGTTTTCATGATATCAGTAAAGAAATGAGATGACATGGATTATCATGATTTCAGTAAAAATGAGATGGCATGGGCTATCATGATGTCAGTAAAGAAATTACATGACATGGGTTATCATGATGTCAGTAAAGAAATGAAATGACATGGACTATCATGATATCAGTAAAGAAATGAGATGACATGGGTTATCATGATGTCAGTTAAGAAATAAGATGACATGGGCTATCATGACATCAGTAAAGAAATGAGATGACATGGGTTATCATGATGTCAGTTAAGAAATAAGATGGCATGGGCTATCATGATATCAGTTAAGAAATGAGATGACATGGGTTATCATGATGTCAGTTAAGAAATAAGATGACATGGGCTATCATGACATCAGTAAAGAAATGAGATGGCATGGGTTATCATGATGTCAGTTAAGAAATAAGATGGCATGGGCTATCATGATATCAGTTAAGAAATAAGATGACATGGGCTATCATGACATCAGTAAAGAAATGAGATGACATGGGTTATCATGATGTCAGTTAAGAAATAAGATGGCATGGGCTATCATGACATCAGTAAAGAAATGAGATGGCATGGGTTATCATGATGTCAGTTAAGAAATAAGATGGCATGGGCTATCATGATATCGGTTAAGAAATAAGATGACATGGGTTATCATGATGTCAGTAAAGAAATGAGATGACATGGGCTATCATGATATCAGAAATAGTCAGAGGCAAATGTGACCAGCTATTGAACTTGTTACTTTTCTGCTTTCAGACTTATGTGATCCATCATAAATCTAGTAATCAAAATGAGGTCCTAACCTATGTGGACTATGTTGACCTGGAGGGACCAGCATTCCTAGCTGGACTCAGAAGAGGTAGGTCTACTATTCTGTATCCCTATTTCTGGAAATGGCATTTTTTTGTGGATGGTGTTCAGCTTTTTGGTGTTTGGGGGTTGGTGTTTTGCATTTGAGGTTTGTAAAAAATGGGAGGTGGTGATATTTTGCATGTTAATGCCATATTCATATCATATCCACTGTTTGTGCTGGAACATCACATCATTCAACAATGTGAAATATATGATACAATGTTATGAAAAACATGCCAATTTGAGAAAATCAACTGTAGCCTAAATAAAGTATCCAGAGTCTTCCTGGTGCAATTTTCAGATACAAGGTGAAATAATGGAAACACTTTTTCAGATGATTTAGAACATAATGTAATAAATGTAGTATTGAGCATTTTATGTCACATATTGTTATATTCTCCAACCTTTTTATGGATGATGTTCAGTAGTCAGCGTTTGGTGATTGCAGGCGCGTAACCAGGCATACTTGAGGGTACGCAGTTGCGTACCCTAAATGATGTAGAAGTACCCCATTACACAGTTTGATGTCGCTCAGAACGCACCATTTAAGTTCTAAAATCAAAAAAGTTCCGAGGGGGATGTCCCCGGGACCACTAGTTTTGCTCAGCCTTTGGCCTCGCGTACCTGCTATCAAAATCCTGGTTACGCCACTGGGTTGGTGTCTGTGGTCAGTGTCTGTAGCAAATGACAGGTGGTGATATTTTGCATGTTAATGCCTTGTTATATGTTATCCTTGATTTGATCTTCTATGATAAATGTAAAGTTGCATTTGAATTTTAGGAGATGTTATCCTTGCCATCAATGGGAAAAGCACAGGAGGCTGGAACCATAAACAACTGGTTAAGTTTGTGAAACGTTGTGGAAATACACTCAGGTTAGTGTTCAAGATATACTTGTCCCTTTCAACAGTTTTACTTAACTCTACTCCCTTTGAATTAGAAGAATTCTATGTCTTCATAAGAAGCTAACATTTATTTCATGTTCTTGCTCCCATGAAAGGCCACAACTGCTATTTATAAGGTAATTATCATCAAGATCTTTTTATTCACCCATTACAGAGAGATAACTTTTTTAGTCTAAATGTAAATGCTATGATTTTGGATGCAGATATGAAGGAATGCTTCCCCCTGGATATGGGACACAAAAATTCCTTCCTATTTCGACAAAAATGAGCCCTCTTTTTGCTTTTTGAAGCATTTTTAGATTATTTTAGGAATTGCCTCCACATTCTCAAAATTGGTCACTCATAGTATTATAACTGAATTTAAGTGAATCTAAGTTTAAGATCAGATATTTTATACACACTAAGTGTATATGTTTGTATTGCACATCTGTTTCTAATGAAAGCAACAAAATGTAATACATAAAAAAATAATAAAAAAATAAATAAGTTCCCTTTTTGTACAGCAGTGTAAGTTTGTTGTATTTCCAGGATGGTTGTTCTGTTTGAGGATTGTTGCAGGAAAATAGATGCTCATTCGAGGTACATGAAATTGAGGGTAAGGGATATTTTTCATTGTTTAGGATACGTGGTTGACTTTAAGCCTGTGGGTCTTTCAAACATGTAAAAGAGACTTTGCCTTAATCTTTAAGAATAGCATTATTGCATTCATTCAGAATAACATTGTGATATTCAGCCTTCATATTCGGTCACGTGGTACCCATGTGCTAGATCCATATTAAGCTTTTAGGACCATATGGGAATCAAACTGACCGTTGTTCGCCATTTTGAATATCATGTGATAGATCCATTTAAAGTGTCTCACATATTCGATCAAAATTTGCCATGCAAACATATTAGTCTACTTTACTGGCCCCCCTTGCTGTAACAAGGAACCCAAAACACATTAAAACGTAAACATAAACCAATTAGTCACTTCACTATGAAAGTGAGGGGTGTTAGTCCATGCACACAGCGTATTCTGCTAATACATATTTGCTAACACAATATCAGTGGTCATTTACTGTGTCAACTTAGTAACCCTTGCATATCGTGCTCACTCAAGTATTGAATTTTTTTTAATGATCTAAATGTTTGTGGTTTCACAAAAAATGTGATATATTTTAGTTAGAAATACATTTATTAATATATTCATTCAAACAGCACTAGAATGCGGGAAGAAAGAGCAATGGTGACAAAATGCAGACAGAATTTTCTGTAAGGGTTTCAAACATTTCTGGACACAATCATACATGTACTTCATGTGTACTGTTATTTTTAGTGCTGTATTTATAGATATAATTTCACGTATTAAAATCATATTTTCCAGCAATGACTTCAAATTCGGAACCACACCCATATCACATTTTCTTCAATAACTCCAAACATGTGTAAACATTGACCATGTGCATATAAATTCAGATTTCACGAGCTCTTTCCTATTTGAGTACCTCATACACCCCTGCATGGATTTGAGTTGGATTCGCCTTTTATACGTGAGCCGACACACTCGCAAACGCTGATTGGATAAAGATTGCGAGAATCTTTAAGGCTATTGCCGCCATTTTAAATATCATGTGATAGATCCATATAAGGCTTGTATGACCATACGGGAAAGCTAAGGGGAATCCCCTAATATGAAAGAATATGAAAGTATTATGGGAGCTACTCATTTCTTCTGAACATTTTCAATCTTCCTCACTTTATAAAAATCCTACCGATACCATCTATGGTTAATTTGTTAGTCTAGTGTTACTGAGGTTGGAGCTTTTAGATTTTATTTTTCAAAGTTTTGGAATGCCATTAAATTATGTGGTCAATCGAACAATATGAATATCGAGAATGTGTTCACATTTTTTCATTACTACTGTCATTTAAATCATGTTTTTATTCTATACACTGACATGTTAGGCCTTAAGTTCATTTATTACAAGGAGTCTATTTTTATCAATTTATTGCAATTTAATTTCATCACATAACTATGTTTCTGAGCATCTTATAGTTATATCATGATAGGTGTTACACTAATGACCATTATTCATAAACACCAATTTAATGTTACAATCATTCAACAAGGTCGACATAAAATTCCAGAAGTCAGCGTGAGGTCTCTGATACTTTCATAGTACACATGCAAGATAAGCTATGTTTACCTACATAACATGTATCCTATTGTTTTACCATTCACTTCAGTGTCACATACATCTAGTGTCTTAATGTGAGCCCTTGCTAGTAGACATAGTAAATACTATAATCTTATGTTTTCCTTTGGGCTTTGTTTTGCTGTCCATTTTGTTAGTAGAAATCTGTGGAGATCTTAATCTTTGTTGATTTGTGGAAACTTGTTCAAATAGTTTTGTTAAATTTTTCTGGTTGTTTATTAAAGATATATATATTTGTCAGGGTCATATACATACAATATACTACAATACAACAGAATGTTATCTTCTGCAGGGCAAAGTACATGTGTAGTCTGCTTATATATGCATCACTCGAGAAGATTTGGGAGCGATCTGTATATGAAAATTTAGGTTTCCGAAATCTTTTGTTATATTCCCTTTAATTGGAAAGATGGGAGAGCCTCGTATTTGGCTTCAAATTGTATTCAATGCAGTATCAATGGTGATGTGGAGTGTCAGATCTTACCATCTTGAAACATTGTAAAATTTTTATGTAGTTACAAAATTTGTAGTTACAAAATTTGACAAGTATTAGTGCAATTTGTGGGTCTCAATGAGCTGTGCCATCAAGCACGTGCGATATCTGCAGGTTTTCCTCATGGTTTAGATATGACAAAACTTTTGGGCATGTGATTAAACTAGAATACCCTTAAGTCAAAGAAAATAAAATAATGATAGAATAATAACATTTTTCTTGAAAGCCCATGATTTAAGAGAAGAGACTCAATCTCGTACATATGCAATATTTTTGAAAAATATAAAACCATGCTCCTAGAATTATGAGACACACAATGCCTTTCATAGTTCTGTACCAATTTTCTTTCCAATAATGTTACTTGGACAAGACCAGCAATTCAAAATCACACTGCCAGTATTGTTTAACACTGATTTGTTTCTGCTTATAGAAAGTGCTGAATGAAAAGATCAAAGAATATCGGGAACTTGAGATGAAAGAACAAAGCATACTGATGGGTAGGTACCTCCTTCACAATGTCTTGACTCTTTGATCATTTGTATATGTTCTGTTGGACCAACTATTGTAGCTTTATAAAATTGCTGTTATTAATACAAAGTATACAGAATAAGCTAGGAATTTCAAAGAAAAATCATTTGTACGAATATCATTATGTCAATATGTTCCTTTATATTTACAAAATATAATACTCTTCCAGGATCGCCTGAAGACGTGAACTTACGGGATTTCAAGAGTGACGTGAGCAGCCTAACCTCCCTAGATACTCTTGATATGAGTTTCCTGGCATTAGATGATCCTGCCAGGGCAAGCTTCCGCAGTGACATAAGTTTTGCCTCCAGCTATAACCCAAGTATGCGCTACTCTGCATCAAGTTTCAATTCAGACTTTCGTTATTCTGGATATTTTGATGCTTCGCCAACTTCTTCATCTCGCTTAAGTCCAGACAGTATTAGTCCTCACTCAGGATCAGCCAATAGCTTATTTTCACCCACAAGCCCACCTCTTTCAGCAAGTTTTCATGAGGGAGACGTGATTCATGAAGGTAAGACATGGAAAAAAGGACATCATCGTCAGTCTAGTCGTAGTTTAGATTCACAGATAGTTGGAGCCTGTAGTCTTGATCAGTTGTCCCCTCCAATACAACATCCTGATTTCTCTCCTACTCTAAGAAGAGCAGCTTCTTCAGAGCAGCAGCTTGATTCAAAACGAGGTCGACCATCTAGTTTCCCTATAGTCTCATATTCCCCATATAACACCCAGAACATAAAATTTCAAGGTCAAGGAGTTGGGGCCACAAAGAAAAAGAAAATGGCCCCCAAGGCACCAAGTTTGAGTGCTCTAAGTGACATTCCGGCAATAAGTAGAATAAAAAGACTAGAGTCCCATGCTAAGGTGATGTCAGTCCCAGACCTCTCTGAACCTCATAATAAACATATTAAAAGTGTCAAATCTGATGAAGACTTCAAGAATGATGCATCATCAATGACTGATTCAATTGCTGGGTCATCCACGTTTGAAAACATGAAAGAGTTAAGTGACTCCATGTCAAATCTAGCTGAATTTGGCATTGAATCTGAAACTGAGTGCCCTACAGAAAATATACAAGAGATCACTGCAGATGTTCATATCCCCCCAAAAATAATAGTGACTAAAGATAGTGATTCTTTAATTGAAGCTCAAGTCAACTCAAAAACTGAAAACATACAGGTTAATACTCTCAAAGTTGCTGAGGCAACCATTAGTGAATCAACGACAGATGAACAAACAAGGAGCATATCTCCAATTCTCTTCAATACTCCAGCTGTGAAGATAGAATCATTTCACAAGGGACATGAAGTCTATAAAACAAGCCTCACAAATATTGCAGTAGATATTGATATTGATGAAAGTAAAAGTGGAGAGATCATCGAGTCTGATGATGATGAAGATGTGTTTGAGGATTATTATTATAACACAGATTCAGATGATGAATTGTCTGAATCGGATGGCAAAATATCAGATGTAAATATGAACAATGAGACGGAATGTAAGAATATATCAGCTGGCCCATGTTTAGCTGAGTCTCAAAGCACTGAAAGCCCAGATTCCAAAATGATTGAAAATAATGGCAATAATGATATTACTACCCAAGAGGAGTCAGAAAAAGTGCCTGTTATGACAACTGCTGATGCAACCCCTATACATCTTGATCAGATAGAACTAACCATAGACCCCAATAGTGTAGATAGTGACACTGATGTGCAATTAAGTGCTGTGCAGTTACAAAAAGATGATGTGCAATCAGTCAATGAACAAAATGCAGTTGAGAACCACAGTGGCCATATAGTTCAAAAACATAAGGAGTATACTTCACCTAGCATTGAGAATACAGAACAAAACTCAAGTTCTGACATTGATAGAAATGAAGACCCACCTATTGACATAGATTCAGTGCAACTAGTAATCAAAGATGATAAACTACAAAGTGATTCCAAGGAAGTAAACAATTCAGGAAAGTTACCAAGTGTTCTTGGTCCAAGGGTATCCAACACAAGCTCAGGATATGGCTCAATTAGCAATGGTGAGATGGTATCTCCACCTTGTTCCCCCATTCCACTTGAGGATTCCATGATTTCTGAAATGGACATACGCAGCCTTTCATCAAGCAGTCCTGTGGAGGCAAAAACAGACATTAAATTCAAGAATTCAAAGTTAGAGAAAATTCACGAAGGTTTTGAAAATGATAATGTTATTATTGAGCCAACAGATGTTAATGTTGAGCACACATCTGCTCAAAATGGAACACCTGTAACACAAATGAATGAAAATAATTTTGTGAGGGATAAGCTGTCTCCAAAACCATCAATGGAAAACTCAGTTGCAGGATTATTCTCTAGATTTACAGGGAAAATACCATTTTCCAACAATGACAATGATCTTGACTTTGGAATAGCGGAGTCAGTTATTGGAAATAGCTCATTTTTCATTCCACTGCCTTTAAGCGAATCCTCCCACCCCCATAGGCCAGAATGTTGGCTAGGGGCTGAGACAGATGATGCGTCACAACCGAGTGTCTTAACGTACATAGACAAGATGCAAGCTCAAAACATTCAACATTATGTGAATGAAACAGATGAAGTTACTTATCTATGATGTTTCTGCATCACATTTGATTGTGTCACAAAACGTATATGCAGTACTTGCTATACCTGTACATTTTAATAATCAATGCAATAACAGAATACTTAATTAAGTATATGGCTGTAGCAGTGGTAGTATTTATGACTGTCACAATGAAAAATAGAATATGTATCATTTATATGGTAAAACCTGTCAAAAGGGAACACTTGTTAAAAATGTTCAAACTGAGTTAATTAAGTACAATTTAGAGATATGTTCATCAAATTAACTTCCATTTTTTGTCATTTAACCATTCAAAATATGGCCATTGTTTTTGTTATGACTAAATAATCACACAAAATAAAACTGCAATTTAGAAATTTATTCTGAATTAATTTAGACAAAAGGAACTATGTCTCATTTGTGGGTGTTATTTGAAGATACATGTATTGTATAATTGTATGTATCTAATGTTTATAATGCTTATATATCAGTTGCCAAATATAGAGGGTCACAGTGTAATATAGAGAGCACTTGTTACATGGTGTAACAAATGATGTACAGCAATATTTTTGGTTCACCCTGTATTTATACATATTCATGGTGTGAAAGACCCAATGAGGTTCTGTTTTGTTAATGTGGACAATGTGCAAAGTCTTTTGAAGCTATTTGCGCACAATTTCAGTTTGCAAGTCTATATTTTAATTATAGTTCAGTGAAAAACCAAGGGACTATATCTGCAAGCATTAATCACTAATAAATCAATGAGTCTGGGGTTGAAATCACATCATAGTTAGAGAACGAGACTATATGAATTCTTGAATTTAAGAATGCTTACAGAAATGTACCCAGAATATCCATAACACTGCCTCTCAAAGGCAGATTAGTTTCTCCTTTTTTGTGCAATTTTGTGTTTTGAGTATCCATAACAACATGTTTTTTATGGTTTTAGCTCTGCACTCAGTTAAGATGAAGAGATTCTGTTGTGTTTGTGAAATAAATAAGAAAGAAATGTTTGTATTGTTCTAAGCAACTTTATTTTTTCACAAACATGTTTTATTTGAGGTTAGGTAAGGACCCAGTTTTATTGGGATCTAATGTAAATATGTTATTGTAAGTTTCATTTAAGTAAGATTTTTATGAAAAGGAATATTAAGATAATCAAACATTATTTTTAATTTCAGAACAATAGAGTACACAGGAGTGTGACACATGTTATGTTAATTAGGTGTTATTTAATTAAGACGATTTACATGTAAATGTGTGTAACATGAGTTCATGTACATGTAGGTAATGTTTATTTCTTGATTATTGCATTCCTAACCCAACTGCCTCATTTATTAATACAACTTATTGCTTCAAATGTACACAGACATACTCAATATAGAACATTTATACAAATATACATAGCATGTATATATATATATATATATATAGGCATTATAGGGTGTTCAGAAATTAAAATTTCCAGTGCTCTAATCTAGTATAAATTTATTATTTGTTAAATTCAGACAAGACCACTTACAAATTTACTTCCTGGTCACCCTGCAGGCCTAATGAATTGAATTTTCCCATTAAGTTCATTTTTATAAATGTGATATTTAAAAATCAAACAGATAATTACAGGTAGTAAAGTACCCTTTGCATTCATTCGACTTTGCTTCTTAAAAGAGAGCTTCGTCTTTGTCTTTAACTAGACTCTGCATGCAGGGGGTAGTAGTAAAGTTAAATGCTGTCTCAAATGTTAAAAAACAGTGTCTTAACCAAATGTTTCCTTTCATGACATCTCCAACTCCTTTCTCCTCAATCTTTATTTGCTAATAAACAATGAAAGGGAAGCATGTGTAAAGATTAGAAAAACAAAAATGATAAAACACTGAAAACTTATAAATGTTTGTTTGGATTTTAGCGAACATTCAGCAGAATTGTTAAATTCTCCCAATTTCTATAAGTTTATGGAATATTGTATTTCATCAACTTCGTACATTTATACATCAAACATAGAATATTATTATCAGTCTTATACACAACATAGAAAATGCCTCAAGGAAACTTTCCATTCATTTGCATGGACTATATGTTAAGTATTTTAAAATCATAATATGAGCTCAAATATCAAATGTACGATGTTTAAAAACCTACTAACCCCTGCATACAAGCTATAAAAGCATTTTGAATCAACTTTTAACTGAGTAGCATTATAAGGGATGTGTGCAGGACTATAAAATTGCAAGATGTACAAATTAAAGTTCATGGGTGCTTCCCTTTGAGGCAATTTGCACATAAGTCATAATTTTAGTTGCAATAGTTGCCAATTGATACAGGATAAGTAAAATGCAATACTTTGTCATAAATGATTATTTATTTTTTGTTTAAAGCATATACCTTAAGCGGTGCATTATATTATATTGTAAACTCTATATTTCATACAAATATATTTGTAGAATGTTAATTTTATACTGTAGTTGTTTTTGTTTCAATAATTCATTTAAATCGTTGGTGGGAAATCCTGCCAATTGAAAATATTTTGATATATCATAGAAACTGGGGACTTTTATGCATGCATATAAAATAAATATTCCACAGGTTTTGATAGCGTCGGACAAGACTTTAACTCAACACTTGCCCCATTCCCTGTATCAGTTATGATTTGTTTCTTGGCACCTGTCATGTGTGTAATGTCAGCAGAGTCACATTTCCCTAAGTCACTTTTTTGTTTCTGGCATTCAGAAGTACTGATGTTAAGATTACTGTCGGAGCATAGAGATTCTGTATAGGTTTGATCTTGAGAATAGTAGCAACTATCATTCATAGACTCATCCGGGTGAGGTTTTTCTCCATGAATAATTTGGTTATTATCTGCAACGACAAATCCCTGAGATGGTTCGATGTGAAAATCATCACGTACATCCTGTTCATTTGAGATATTTGCCAAAAACAGCTGACGTTTGAATTTCTCATTTGTCTCACTCTGTTCCGAATATACCTTTTGTCTAATGAGATCATTTTCAGCAGATGTGGTGTCCAATTTATTCTGATTTATTTCAATATGTTCAGATTGCATATATTTCCCATCTGAGTTGATTCCATGTTTACCAGAATCTGTGTCTCTTTCAAAAAGTTTCATCTTTAAATGAGCAGTACATGCATTAGTATACTGGCCCTGAGATGCTAATGTTGTGATGTCATCAACCATGTGATATTTTGCACACTGACTAGATAATAATGATTTAAGATTTTCATTGTCAAAGTGTCTGAAGGGACAGCCTCCTTCATCTCTGCATTGAAGAGTCATTCCCTGAAAAAACATGGTAAATGTGAACATTTAAGAACAGGGAACTTAAAAAGGACAAGGCATCAACATGCAAAATGTGACCCCCTGCCATTTGTTACAGACACCGAAGATTTACCGCTGAACACCATCCACGAAAAAGTTAGAGACAATAACAATTTTGACACTGATTCCGATATTTAAAATTATGTTGAAATCTATGTATTTTCCAAGAATAAAGGTTGACTTAAAGATCTGAATAATGAAGGCAGGGTAATGGGTATGAAAAAGTTGTAATTCTACCCTTAATAAGAAGACAAACTCATATTATTAGTCACAGAATATTTGCTGTTAGTAAAAATCTAACCTGGATTGCTTCACAAGAGTGACCTCTATAGTTGATACGTGAGCCCTCCAAGCCATATAGATGGCGTATATTGTAGGTATACCTCCGGGCATCTTTCTGCCAGGTATGCTTACATGGAGACCCACCACCTACTGGCTTAGAATACTCTTGTCCCCAGAACAATAGAGCCTCATTTACATGCATACCAGCCTCCTTCAGGAATAATGTGTACTGGATCTAAAGTAAAAATTAAAATGAGGTGAAACACGCTACAGGAGTTCATAATCAGCATGATTACATGATAAAGAAATTAATTCCATTGTAAATGAAATGGTGCCACAACTGGCCCTTCATTGAGTGACTATACACCAGTGAAGATTCTGAACCTTGTGCATGTGGGATCCTTTACTCTAATAAGCATGAACTATCATTTCAAAAATGGAAGAACAAGTACATCAATGTTCTATCAGTAACACCTTTACAGATCTCATTAATTTAAATCAATGGTTAAATTAAATAAACTATAAATGTTTTACCCTTGCATGATGCCCCAAACGATGTTTGACTCTCAACTCATTGTGTAAGTTCAACATGCAGAGTGGGAACTTTCTACTAAGCTCATCAACGTCTTGGTGATGTAGTACCCCTGGTTGCCTAGTATTGCACACCTGTGCCCTAGAGAATGTAGCCTGAAAAGAGCAACATCATTACTAGGAAAGTATTTAAGTAAAAGAAACTTTCTTGATTTGGAGAATGTTTACCATTTACTGCGACTATACATACAAAGTGGAAATCAAAGTGAAAATAATCATGATCACTTCTGTTGTTTTAAACAATCATATACAGGGCGGTTCCTAGTCAACTCGGACCCTAGTCAACTTGGACCCTAGTTAACTCGGACCCTAGTCAACTCGGACCCTAGTCAACTTGGACCTATGTATTTTTTTATTTTCCTTAGTTTGAGCATTAAAGTGAAATCATATACCAGTAGGAATAAATATTTAATAACCAAGAGTTTGATTTTACATGAAACAAGTTAATTTGTCTTACAAACAAAAAGTATGTGACAATAAATTAGAAATTCAATGTGAATTAAGGGGTAAACATGTTAAATAAATTAAAAGCCCTTGATTTATAAGAAATTTCTTAATCAAAAGTAAAAGATTAAAGTTTCAAATCAAATGATAACACCATATTTAATAATTTTGTAATTTGTATCTGTAATTCTTTGATTTATTAAATCAAAATATATTTCAAATTCCCCACTCATTGAATATTTTACCAAAGTCACCAAATTATTTAATCATTGTATTTCCATATTTGAAGCTTTGAAATATGAAATAAAAATGTGTAATGAAATAATCATGTATTTTCGACAAACAGAAAGTAATTTTACACACATGTTTAGAAAATGAATTTGGAAATAAAATTGTTTAAAACACAAATGTGCTAACACATTCCCACATACTGTATATTGGAATTAATGTAATACCTCTATATTTTGTTTACTTCAACACCCTAATTAAATACTTATCATTGGATACAAGATTTCTTAATTAGGTTTCTTAGTCAAAGTTATTACAACAGCATTATACACAACAGGCTAAATTGAATTCATTTGTTTAAAAACATAGTATAGTTCCAATTCTATATAAAGTCAATATAAAATTAATCAAAATCATTCTTATTTAATTATAAAGAGTTATTTGATCACACATGACGCAAATAACATAAACGTATAAAGGTTTTAAAAGATTGATTTTGACTCATCAGAAATATACATAAACATCATTATTTAAAGATTGCAGTAATGAATTAAATTATATTTAAGACTATTCCAATATTCTTAATATTTTGAAAGTAAATTGCTTTCTCCTCTAACATAGCAAAATACCTCTGATTTATATTGAATATAACTGGGTCCGAGTTAACTAGGGTCCAAGTTGACTAGGGTCCGAGTTAACTAGGGTCCGAGTTGACTAGGGTCCGAGTTAACTAGGGTCCGAGTTGACCAGATACCTACAGGGCCTAAGCATTGTCTATAACATTTTTTTTATTTTATTTTTTTATTAAAAATATTTATTCTCTAAATCAAAATCAAATACATAATAACACTTGACACTTTTAATAAGTGTATCAGCATGAAAACATTTAAATATTAACCTGAGTCACATGGAAATGAGAAAAAAAGAACAATTAAAAATATTTACTCAGTCAAATGAGAATACAATTGATAACAATATATAAAATCTACATATATGTTTGTCAGTAATTCAGTTCATCATATGTTGATGTCATATGAATTCTAAAATTCTTTTCAAAACATTTAATGGAAGGTGATGTTTTCAAAGAAGTTGGCAGATTATTCCAAAGCTGAGCACCTGAATATTTTATTGAGTGTTGACCTATGATTGTTCTAAATTTTTTCATGTGAAGACAATTTTGGAATCTTGTCTCATGTTCGTGAAATATTAAATTTGGAGTAAAATAATTTTCAAATATGTCAAAAGGAAAGCCATCGGGTTTTGTTGTGTATTGATAAAGAAATTTTGCAACTTCAAGCTTATGAATGTCAAAAATATCTCGAAAATTGAGTTGTTTAAAAAGAGGTGGGCTATGTGCTAAAAAGTCAGAATTTGTAGAGACAGAGAGAGGTAATCACGAAGCTCTCTCTCCCTCTCTATATTGGCATTTCAATGATTTTTTAGAAGGAACATTTCCTTCAAATTTAAAAGCAATATATAGATTCCGTTGAGTGTAACATATAATATTCTTCTAGATGTAAGAAAAACCTCAATCAATCCCATAGAATCTTCCTGCATGTAAAATAACAAATATTTTTGAATACCTGTAAATCATTGAATATCCTCTTCAATCTGTCATCAGGTATTATATTCTGATCTGAATTCTGCCTCTTCCCTTTCTTAAGTCCAAGCACTAATGATTGGTTGAATAATCCAACAATGACCTCATCAAGCTTGCTATATGGCACAAATGCAAAACCGTTACTCATCCTGACTTGGCGATGTTTCACTAAGTTTAATGTAAATTCAAATGGCACTTGGAAATATTCATCATCTACACCATCCTTGTATTTCCGAATGAGATGCTTCCAATGTTGGCCAGCTGGAATTCTATGAAAGGTTTGGAACATTTCAGTCATGTAGCCTTGATCTGAAGTCTCTGAGAGATCCACATTGTTATCAAGCTGCAAGCGATTTCTTCTGAATGACTTGAACAACCTATAAAGCTCTTTTTCATCCATACATTGAAGGCGGAACTTGAACAATAGAGTCTCTGCTCTGATGAAAAATTCTTGCAAGCTGGGATTCCCACTATGGCAGGCTGCTAACCTAAAAACAGAAAGAAAGAAATCAATATGTTCATATCAGACTCTAGAATTCTATCTGATCTCATTCATCTAAATTATTTCAATTGAGTGAAGATACACACTTGCCAACCTAGTTTTTTATAAGAATCTAGTAGTAATGACCAATATTTTCATTTTTCTGTAGTTTTAAAACTAAGTTAACATAAGGTAAAAATCAAATATACATGTATGTCTAACAATAAGTGAAATCAGTCATTCTGATACTCATAGCATCTCTCTCTGTTGCAACGCAGAAGGATAGAGATGGAGAGGTACGATGGAAATCAGTTGCTAATGGGCTGTTTTATCAATATAAATGGAGAAAAAATATTGACAGATTACTCCTTTAATAATACCAGTTTTCTCCACGGAATTTTTCCCATGGAGTGCAAAATTCTCATTTTCACAAGTCAGACCAAACTTGATCAAAATATGCCAATTTTTCATGACTTTTCACATTTTAAGGTGTCTGGAAATGGATTTTCAGGTGGGTGCACGCCTGTTTTCAAAATCTCAGCTGGGTGTTGTGGCCACTTGATTTAATGCTGTGGAAATCACTGATTACCGAAACATATTATTCATCTTCATGTCTTTATGGCTATGCCAATGTTTCAAATACAAGTAGCTGTAGTAAAACATTTTGAGGCTTAGGAAGAGGGAACAGTTTTATTCTAAACCATACTTTTTAAATTAATTCACACATCTAACTATCTTTGGACACAATCACTAATTTTTGAACAAAACCTACATGTAACCCTACCTCAGTGTGAAGTGAGACACCTTGTCTTTCGTGGTGCCCTCTATTAAACATTCAGAGTCCTCTACACTGGTGTAACTTGAGACAAACTCATGAAAGCTCTCCACATCTCCAGGCTGCTGGTCAACAAACTGAAATGTAAAAGTCAAGAAGTATGGGCTTGAACAATTGATGTTGCTGTCCATGTTTAACTGAATTTCCCTACACATACCCTAGTTAATCACACGTGCTAAGCATGAGATGGAATCTGAAGATTTGTCCACTATATGGGATCAAGTTCTTTATTGTAAAATATGCAAAGAAAACCTCGCAATTTATTTTGTTATGACAATCGAAATAACCGACTGCATGCAATAATATTACTTTCACTTCTATTTCAAGTCAATGTTATAACAACTATACTGTGTACATGTATTGTACTTGATGGATCTACTGAATTAATGTCTGGTAGATATGATAGTCTTTACCTCAAAATATGATTCTTACATCAAGACAGACAACACAATGCCAGGAAACCATTACTATTGTAAGCTCATAAAAAGTCCTTCCACATTACCAAAATGTTGAGGAAGGTATAAAGTTGGCCTAATCATACTCAAATACAATTACTTACCTTCAAAAGAAATTTCAGCCTCTTCAAGCTGAAAGAGGCCAGTTTCTCAATAGGTATATTTCCATCTGGAGGTTGTAAGTAGAATGCCATATTAATGTAGAAGTAGGAGTTGGGGATTCAGTTATACCAACATTAAGTACCATTAAGTGCATCCATTTCCTGAGAGGGCCTATGCAAGGTTACCTACAAGCAATCATAGTACTGTATCTCTAATTTCATTGTCCAAGGTGTATTGATTGAGACGGTTGAAAAGTCTGAGAGCAAAATGCTTGAAACGTCAAACTGTTCATTTTTATTTGTTTTGCTATTTCTTCTGATCATTGTGACCAGCAATATATCAAGGTTCTTTAAAAATTATGGCCAAACGCAGCTCTATCGACTCTTACCATGTCTTTGTGACACAAGGGAGAGAAAATAGAGGAATATACATGTAAATTTTCAACCACAACATTTCAGATTCGGGGGGTAGGTAACTACTGTAGGCCAGAAAGGTTTGGTTAACAGTCCTGTTGACAGAGCTTGAGCCAATGAGCCTAGGGGACATGCCTGTCAACTTGGGAACACCTAACATACACCTAGGTATGAAATATTTCAGGGAAAATACATATATAAATAAACAGTTAGATTAGTCTACCCAGACAATTGTGGATTCAACTACACGAAAAGAATGCTAAAATACCCAGGAATCAATTGAAGTTTATCGCATCCTACGACCCCTTTAGATTGTGGTCGTACGCCCGTATTATTAGTAAGCCTGTCTTTCTACAATGTCGGAGATATATTATATTTTCGTTTTAGATAGCAATATTTGCGTGTAATATTTAAATTATTTCAACCGTCAAATCCCTCCATTCAGTTCCCGGCATGCACCAGTCATAAGGGAAATCCCTGGGGAATTCCCCTTCCGGCATTTTGAAAATTGCTGATATATTTTCGATGTAAAAACTAAAATCTCTTTGTTCTGCCGATAAACCCATACAATTGGTGATCTAACAACATAAGAATTCTAAAATACTCTGAAATGTATCGAGGTAGGTCATTTAATAGTGCAATGCGTAGTTCATTCTCCGACATTGTAGAAAGACAGGCTTAGATATATCTACTAATAATACGGGCGTACGACCACAATCTAAAGTGGTCGGTAGGATACGATAAAATTGAAGTAGGTATCTTAAGTGTAAGGGGCGTAAATAATTCTCCCAAGTTGTAATCGTACAGGCAAAAGAATGCTCTCAATGCAGGACTATAGTCCTGGTACGGGATAAGTGTAACAGACTTTACATCTATAAAAAAACTTGGTTACAATGGGGATCATAAAGAATTGCAAAAGCTATGAAAATTACATGCTGTCGCACATGTAATAAATTCTTACCTCAGTGTATTCAGTGCTCTATTTTCTCCTTCTTAGTAAGTCCAAATATAGTGGAATTTGTGTCCCTACAGTGGGGATCATAAAGAATTGCAAAAGCTATGAAAATTACATGCTGTCGCACATGTAATAAATTCTTACCTCAGTGTATTCAGTGCTCTATTTTCTCCATCTTAGTAAGTCCAAATATAGTGGAATTTGTGTCCCTAAACATGGCGATTCATGAAAACATTCATTCGATTTGGTAGGGATTCAGTGGCGTAGGAACAATGTACGCCAAAACGCCAGTGCGTAGTGTTGAAAAGTGAGAATAAAAAGGCTTATCAATTTTCCTATGTTCTTTATTCATATTTTCTCATTGTATTGTCCAAAAGTAATCTCGAGCACACTAGCCTAAAGAAATGTTTTGTGGATACCATATGATAAGCTCGATTTTTTCAATAGTACTTCTTTGCATGGTTTCTGTGCCTCTATTTTTCTCACCCGGGCCACAGAAAAATGACACTTTTTGAAAAAGAAAATATTGAAAGTTACCTTGTTTCTACAGTTCTAATACTGTAGAAAATGGAAAGTAATCAGTATTGCTCTGTTTGGCAAATAATCATTTAACAGAATGAATTCCATTGCCAACATGCTTTATTTCATAAAAATTTAGCCACTATTGTCTATCTTATGGATTTTAAAAGTAAACTACAATTTCGCCAAATATTTGTGATTCGCGTTCTCTTCACGAATTTGAGAGAAAAACAGTTTTTTTCAAAAACTACTTGATGAATACCTTTGCAATTTTTGTGCATGTTCCGTAATGCTTATGCAAACTGTGGTATCATTTAATTATCATGACGAACCTCTTTAAATCAGATGTATTTTTTAAATTCTCCCCTATCCCCAATTTTTCAATTTCACTATATCGATTTATATTCCGTTGCTAGGCAAAATCATAGACAGAAATCATACTTAAGTCAGCAATTATCTATTTTCTTACTAAACCACCAATTGCTATTGCATTGGTAGTACATCTTGAAATATGAATGTTAAAGACAAAAACAACTTGAAAATGTTGATTATTCAATTACGCGTTCAGATTTTTATTTCATTTGAAAGATAATAGATTATTGTATTGGGAAATATAACGTTTGTGGCACCCCCTAAGTCACGTTGACCTCGATTTGACCTTTGTGGGGGGGGGTTATTTGGTCTTGCGAATTAGTGTTATAAAAAAGGTTGCAGACATTAGGATATTGTATAATTGATCACTAATGCGTTTCTTTAAATCAATTGATCAAACTTGATTCTTTAACCTGTACGTATTGTCGTATTGCACGGCACGCGTTGTTATTTGGAAATCGGTCGTCTATATCGTTCGAGACATGAGAAAAGTGAGAATGATTTGTGTCGAGATTGAAAAGATCGGCTTTCCATGGTGATTTTAAATAATGAAAATCATTCGAACATTTTAAGCACATTAAAAAGGTATCAGGGATTTTAAGCTTGCATATAAAATCGAAACGCCAACCTATACGTATAACCAATCGCCCATACAAATGCATCGCTTAATAAATATTTCCGTTCACATTAAGGTTGTGAAAACATTGCAAGCTTAAAATCTCTATTGCCATGAAATGACGTTTTACGATCATAGAATAGGCCTTTTGATAAAGAAGATTTGACACACTTGTTTCATATTTTTGGCGGGATTTTTTGGCGTAGTGTTGAATTAACACCTTCCTACGCCCCTGGGATTTATCCATTATTTGCAGGTATGAAGCTTTGGATTCATTTATTGTGCTACTTTAGTGAACGGGAATTATTTTTCTACCGCTTGGGAGAGTTTGAGACACGGAACTTGGGAATAAGCTCATTGTGACAACTTGTGAACATTGAGTTTTATTTTTGTCCCCCACTGTAACTGTTAAAAATAATAAGAACATAACTTCGACATATGAGTGTTACCTGATAAATGGGACCCTCACGTGCCTTCCAAATGGTAGTACACGAACTATAGTGTAACTAAATCAGCTTATCTTTCCGTCCGATCAACAATAAGTACAGTTATACAAGAAAATGAAGTGAAAATATTCCCAAAAAGACACTGCATAGGAGTTCGCCAAAGGCATGTCATTTCCGGAAGTTATGATACGTTATATTACCAAACATGCGTGAAAATGGAACGTTTGTTCGTTCATTTTACGAGAGCTAAATAAAATGCGAATATCCAAGCATCGGGCATGACTCCACCATTGTTTGCCGTTTTACTACTTGCCACAATCAACCTCACTGCCAGCATATCAAACAAGGCCCATTTTCCATCAAACTTGGTCCAACTACTATCGATCGTTCATTATAGATTAATATGGACTAGTATAGTCTATAAGTGCCTGAATCTGTCCTAGAATGTCTGGATGTAGTAGTTTTCTTTATCAATTATGATCATGAAAGTAATCAAGATAAACAATAGCATTAACTGATGATTGGTGAATGATTTTTTAGTTATTTTGGAGATTTTAATTGCATGTTAAACCATATAGGCTTTCGGAAGGGTATGCAGCTTTCCAAGTTCTATCCACGAGCATTGGACTTTGCTTTTTAGAATTGGAGAAAAATGCTTATTTATGTCCTATACAATGCATGTCACTTTAGCTACTCCGTAACACGTGGCCACCACGTATCCACCAGGGGCATTCCCATTGTTTCCATAACTCAATATCACGCCGTGAAACTGCGTGAATACTATGCACGCAGCACTGACAAACTGCGCGCATATCAACAGCATACAAGTATTTTCAAACGTCATTTTAAGCCATTTATTCTGCATTGTTTTATAGTTCATACGTCCATTGTGTGGCGCAACACTATATTTTGAACACGAAAGTTCCTTAGGAACTTACATTGAGACTGAGACTTACATAAAGGGATTGGACTTTATGTTAGTCTCAGATTGAGATAACTAGCGAGGTTAACACCAGGAAAAAAATCGAGTGCTACTTGTAAAGTAAGCTAGTCTCAACATAATGGTAATATCCCCGGGTTGTAACACCAAATAGCAAAAAGACTAAAAACACACTATATATCTAGTGGCATATATAAAACTGCCCTGAGTATATATACCATCATCCATACCAATTCAATTCAATATGCAGGGTGTCTCAAAAAAGGAAACCGAGATTAATTAATTGCTAATTTGTCAGAAGATGAATAATGTTAGGGACAATTCGCTGTCATTTGCGTCACTATGCCCTCTTTCATATGGTTCCAAAATGTTCTATTATCCTCCACAGATGACTGAGCAATGAGGGATTTAAGTGACCATGTCAGAAATGGGTTTGTGCCACTTTCAGCCAAGTCAATTTCACCATCATAACATAGTGATAAGTAACAACAAATATCAGGATATTACTCTTTTACTCATTTATTCCAATTAAAGTAACACATATCATATTTAAAATTCCTTTTCAATCCCAATGACCATTCAAAGTTCGTTTAACCCCAGTGTCCTTCAACACGACCCCCATTCCTTTCAAGACAGATGTCTGCCCTAGATCCCATCGCACATACTGCATCCCTGATGATGTCTTTCTGTCCCCTTAGATCCTGCTGCAACGATGCTGGCCCTAAGATTATCAATGCCTCTTGGTAATGTTGTGTAGACTTTATCCTTGAGATAACCCCAAAGGAAGAAGTCACAGGGTGCAAAACCATCCTGGCATAGCCATTTTAATCCCCCATTGTTAGTCATTCATGAAAGAAAAAGTGGCACAAACCCATTTCTGATATGGTCACTTAAATCCCTTAGAACTCAGTCATCCGAGAAGGAAAATAGACAACTTTGGTATCATAAGAAAGGGGACATCACAACCTGTCAGATGATAGCTGTAAAATTATTTATCTTATAATTATTTATATTTGAGAAATGAGCAATTAAATCCCGGTTTCCTTTTTTGAGATATACCCTGTATAGTAGCTTTGAAAGTACAAAGAGCAGCATAATATTTAGAATGAGAACATTTGTATCAGTATTTATTAAAACAAGTCTGGTGCAATAATCAAAATGCTAAACTGTATATACTGTACACGCCCGTAGCCAGAGGGGGAGCTGGGGGAGCGGAAGCTCCCCCCTGGCCAGAAATTCTTTCAAAATCATGCAGTTTTTCACCATTCTGAGAATTTTTCGCATGATTTTTAGCAAAAATTGTGAAAAAGCTCCCCCCCTGGAAAAAAAATCCCCCCCCCTTGGTAAAAGCTGGCTACGGACAAGCTGTAATTAGAAGAGGTAAACGTAGGCGTTCTGGTTTTGTAATTAAATTCTAATTCATAGGGATGTACTGGTCACTGGTAAATTAGTAGAAAAACTGTCAGCATTGCTCAACACAAAATACATTATAGTTATGGTCAAAACATAAACAATATTGGGATACAGTTAAGATAATCACTGGTGATATATGGCTATTGGAACTTTTTTAAAACAATCTATCAGTCCATGCTATATACGGATAGTCTTGCGTGTCTAAAGGTCGTACCCCTTTACTGGGTAATATGTTGGCCATTCAACATCCGCGTCGCACTGCGCGTCCCATACAACAACGAAGCCAATTTCTGGAATATCAACCTCCTGACAACACAGAGCTTGTGGGGTTATAAAAGTACGGAAAAGTCCACCACATGTACCAGGATCATAATAAGCTACCAGGCGTAAACCAGGGGGTGAGAGGGTCCTCAAATATTCTTCACACAAAACCTGCCCGAGAGGCCTGTATCGCACCCCGGATGTCCCATTAACTGCGATTGATTGATTCAAGCCCTGTGTGCCGTAGATGTTGCGTAGTGCAGCGTCACACTGCAGTCTGCATTGGTCCATTACTTCTTCACATCCATAGCACCTTCCCTTGGTGTTATTATACCATATAGGGTCCAGCTGATACAATATCTCGGTAGGCTCGTTTTCCCCTGCCGTTCTATTTGCCTCACGTCGAATGGTACAATCACACCTAAACGAGAAATGTTTGGGAGTTAGAATGATTCGTCGATCACTGAGTGTAACTACTAACAGACTATGTAATGTCCTTTATTCTCGAGTAATGAGGCTGAGAATGCTGAAAGATGCCATCCCGGGATGACATGTCCAAAGTATGATAGAAGGAAATAAAAAATCACAGAGAAAAGTATTTGAAATTTTACTTACAATCCTCAGTAAAGGAGCACGGAGGTTATCGCAAACAATGTCAAACGATTCTATCTTAAATTATGAATATTTTCTGATAATGATCATGGGCGTATCTTTTATATCCATTCATTATCTTCAAGAAAAGTATATACCTAATCAGACCTAAGTGATATTGAAGGGGCAATGGACCAATTAACATACTTTTTCAAACTGATTTTCACAAAAAATGCAATTCTTTTATTATATTGTTGAATGCATAAATAAAATGTGCTTTCAGACATAATCTATTTCCTAAGAGGAAAATTGGATTGCTCCAGGGACTTTAAAGATACTGAATTTGGATGATCAAAATGAACTGAAACCAATGAATAGCATGAGATGTTTCAATGGAAAAATAACATTGGGAACACTTATCTTAAAGCAATAAAGTCTTTTAAGAAATATTTGATACATTAAAATAAAGAATAGTAATGGATTGAATAATGTAAAAAGATGATTGCATTTTGGTAAAAATGAGGTTAACATCTTTGAAAAGTGTGTTGATGGGTTGATTGCTAGTAAAATATCTCCAAGTTTGTTTGACTTTATTATTACTGTATACAGTTTTCTTTGAGATAATGAATGGATCTAAACGATATTTCTGTCTTCATTGTCAGAAAACAGTTATAATCCAAGATATAACCGTCTGAAATTGTTTGCGATAACGTTCGTGCTCCTTTATTGACTTGAACTTACTTTTCATTGAATGGTCCTCCGGGCGGCGAGGTGGGCTCCGGTGTGGTTGGTGGTGGCGTTGGGAGATCAACTAAAGATATAGGAAATATATATTATAGGATTTGTACCAATGATATTTTCATTTAAAGGACAGGACTAATAATGCATGGACATAATAGGAAAACATTTATATTGAAACAATTACGAATCAGAAATAAACGTTCACATTACAAAAGACACGCGTCAATCTACGTGTACTACGTACGAGTCTCCACAGCTTTCCATGGACATTCTACTGTTAGAATATATCTCTCAAGACTAAACATCGATCTAAGTTAATCTCTGATCACTTGAAGTTAGTTTCAAATCTGGATTATTGGCATGAAAAACTTAAATTACTTACTTGTTTAATTGTATTTTATAATTCTCATTTCAAGATTAATTGTACGTGTACTCATTTGCATTTTCATTAACATTCGAATATAAAATGGAAATCTTACCGACAATGTTTGACTTTAACCCAAAACCTACTGGGTGACCGTATGATTCAACACCCTGATGTCCGTAGGAGAATGCCGTAAACTCCACATTTGGCGCCCAGTGATCAATTCTGTATGTTCGGTACAAGAGTCCACTTAACATAAGAGTTGTATAATTGGTTCCTGGAATTGGACTCCACAATCTTCTCGGGATGATTTGCCCATTGATGGTCAGTCCTCCTGCGACTTGTAAGGATGCTATAACTGCCAAATGGTTGGCATAATCTCGTTCGACGCGGTTTCTGAATGTCGAGAATATGACTGGACCAGTGTACTGTTTTACAGGTGGCACAATCATCATGAATGGATCCGTTCCACCGCGAAGATTGTCGGCAGAAATACCTAGAAATTACAAAATAATACATTCATGTATTTGGTGTATTTTTATATGGACTGAAAAGGATTTGATCTTCTCAAGGTGTCTTAATTTATGATGTGCGTAACTGGCATAAAATAACAATTACCTTTGTTGTATTGGGCAATAAGACAAGGCTTGGAGCAGATAAAGTAGTTGAAGTCATTGGACCTTCTTTCAAACTCGAAGTATTGTCCTCTGTTCAGACCCCTTCTTGTTCCATAATTAAAGGCAGTGATTGATGTATCATTTTCTGATGCAAGCACTCTGTAAACATCTCCTGCCCGACGTGGCTGAATTGGCGCTGTGGCAAAGTACTCGCCCCAGGTGTATATTGGAGGTATCTGCTCTACGATATGATCGCAATATTGAACAGTAGTAGGCACAAACACGCAGGTAGCACCACCGTATACTGCAAGTGGTTTGTTCGATGTTACAAGATAACCGGTTGTGTCGCCTCCTCGTATGGCCAGCTGATACGTTTCGTATTCTATCATCACAAGATTCGTTGCATTTGTAAAATCATGCCCACCACCTGGCAGAGGGGGCACAATTTGGACAGTGGTGTTTTCTTCTTGTGCTGCGATACCAATGAGAGAGTAGGTGACGCGTAACGCATTATATGACGGAATAAGGAATTCTTGTGTTTGCGTGGCGTTAAAATCAGAGACCGGAAGTGCCAAGAATGATTCACCAGCAATTCCAGCATTATTGCAATAAACGCTGACTTCATAATCAGATGTGATCAAGATACCCTTTCGTTCGGGCCTGTTATAGAACATTCGTACAGACCCAGGAAAGCGGATTCTTTCTATATCTCCTGCCTCAATGACATATTGTTGATCGAAACTTCCTTGGGGTGATTGGACACGTACAGTGGAGCGCCTTGCCGCGGTGATTACGACTTCATTGTGACCGGACTCAGAGTTTCGGAACTGGGACATGAAGGCTACAATAAACCGCGTACCCTTGTGGTCTACGGCTGCAATAGAAAACATATGTCCTACATCTATATCATATTGATGAAACAATTAAATCGCAATTTACATTAACGTTACAGCATTCTAAAAACATTTTGTAAACATTTAGGAGTGAAGGATGGCACCAATGTTCAAAATACATTTGATCTTAATAAACGATGGCAATATAAAGCTTCAACACCTGTCATTTAAAAGAACATATATAAGATAAGGTCTGAATGGTGTAAGTAGAGCTAATCGACAAGAGTAGTCTGGCAGCTACCCCTCTGGGAGAGTTATGTTACGTTATGTTATATTTATTTTCATATTATAATTATTACAATTTGAATAACAAGGTATGCACACGACGCTGGGCGTATAGCGTGCGTGCATGCAGCTTACACCACATTACATATTATATTGTTATTACCTCAACTGAAATACTCGATTCTGATTGGTTGATTAGCGGTCAACAATATACACAATTGTTGACCTCTCCAGAGGTCAACCGGCAAAATTGTATACCGAGACTGTAAACCGAGAAACTACTGTTGACAGAGACCGAAGGTCGAGGTCAATAGTAGTTTCAAGGTTTACAGTCGAGGAATATGATTTTGACGGTTGACTGAATGGAGAGGTCTACAATTGTTTTGTTAGTCAGAAGAAACTAATATTACACATATAGACGACAATCATCAATCGGTATGGCTTCATTTCACAATCTTTTCTCCGAACCACGCCAGCAATGCGTACTCATTTGTAAATTAATGTTAATTTTACGTTTCTATTTGTATTTTTGCTATACTTGTCGTCTAGTAAAGTCAAAATATCACTTTCATCAACGTTTACAAAATGTCCGTCTACCATGTTTTTTCTGTAGACATTATGACGTCATGAAATTTATTTTTCAAAAGTAGCGGTCAACAGTACATATTGTTAGTACCTCAACTGAAATACTCGATTCTGATTGGTTGATTAGCGGTCAACAATAACAAAACAAATGTAGAC